TAATTAGATTAACAAGTCGTCACAGACCCCTCACCCAATAGACTGGGCGCCAGGATGTCTGCGAATGACCACAGGCCACTGGTTACCATGGCAACCCCGACACCTTTGCTAAGACCAGAGCCATTTACGACCTGATGGAATGTGAGTAGGGAAAATCACTGCATGTTCCATAGCAAGAGGCACAATGCACAGTAGAAATGGACTTTTCTACTAATTAATCCATAGGAAAACCTTTCTTTGAATGAACACACATAGCCTTCAGGTCATCGTGTATGTTGTCTTTGAGATTTTATACTGTTTTATGCAGGCTTGTGATGGAAACACTCATTCCTGTCATCCTACATATATAACTATAACTAGTTATGATTAATTATTCATATTTCCCTTATGAGCTGATTCGCTACATATAAGTAGTTAATTTCAGAGCATGCACCAGTAAACACTGCTATTATTTATGGCTTTCCCTTCGCAGTCTGATGCCTTCAATCATTCACAGTCTCTGCATTCTAGAGCATGCTGTATCTGAGGATGATGTTTCTGAAGAGAGATGCCTGTGTATCTAATTATGTCAGCACCTCAATCTACCCAAGAGAGAAGCATACACCAGTGCTAGAGCCAATCAATGCATTTAGGCTAAGAACTGATCTGTTGATTAGTTGCAGCACCAATATTCTCACCGCCTTTTCTTTGGAGATAAAGCTCATCATTTCTCAAGGTTCATGCCAAGTACACAGTAGAAACAGTGATTCTTCAATCCCTTAGTTCAGACTATTAATCACCTGTATTTGGACTGTTAATCACCTGTTATGTACTTCAAATTGCAATGTAACAGAAGTAGTGACAGTTTTTTTTCTTCCATATTTTGACACACATCCGAGTGAAACGGATGTTCGGAAAACAAAAAACATGTATGAGGGAAACTTGGTTCTCTCCATCGGCAGCTAGAGGCAGATCTGAATGCGAGTTTGCAGTCAATTGTAAGAAGGAGGTAGAATTTATGCGGACTGAATGACTCTAGAAGTCCGGTATAAGTCACCTGTCATTTCACCAAAAGATATAGTTATAACATTGATTGAAAATTATCAGAAAAAAAAACATTAGGTGGAATGAGTCTTTCATAATAAAATGCATTAGGAAAACTGTTACAGTGAATTCACACTTAATGCTGACTTTAACTATGTAAACTTTAGAAATTTTGATGATTTAATGACTTCATCATCCTTCATACATTTCATGTATGAGATGTTTCATCCACCATGTTCCCATTGGTATCCAGGAGCTGTTACTCTGATCCTCACAAAATACTATGACCTTCAAATGATGTGTTTTGACTCAGATGTAAGGTCAGACAGACAAAACTGAATTTTTTAAGAAAGTGCAAACACTGACCCTAAAATACATAAGAGATCTGTGTATTGGTCAGTCCTTTTAGCAGAAGTCCACAGCATTATGCTGTGAGGGACGAAAACATGGTGGATGTTTCAGGACAAAGCATATCTAAACAAATTATTTCATCTTAAAGGAATCAATAAATGCCAGATTATCATCTAACTAATAGGATTTATACACTGAACAAAATTATAAACGCAACACTTTTGTTTTTGCCCCCATTTTTCATGAGCTGAACTCAAAGATCTAAGACTTTTTCTATGTACACAAAAGGCCTATTTCTCTCAAATATGGTTCACAAATCTGTCTAAATCTGTGTTAGTGAGCACTTCTCCTTTGCCGAGATAATCCATCCACCTCACAGGTGTGGCATATCAAGATGCTGATTAGACAGCATGATTATTGCACAGGTGTGCCTTAGGCTGGCTACAATAAAAGGCCACTCTAAAATGTGCAGTTTTATCACACAGCACAATGCCACAGATGTCGCAAGTTTTGAGGGAGTGTGCAATTGGCATGCTGACTGCAAGAATGTCCACCAGAGCTGTTGCCCGTGAATTGAATGTTCATTTCTCTACCATAAGCCATCTCCAAAGGCGTTTCAGAGAATTTGGCAGTACATCCAACCGGCCTCACAACCACAGACCACGTGTAACCACACCAGCCCAGGACCTACACATCCAGCATCTTCACCTCCAAGATCATCTGAGACCAGCCACCCGAACAGCTGCTGCAACAATCGGTCACAATCAACAACCTGATCAACTCTATGCGAAGGAGATGTGTTGCACTGCGTGAGGCAAATGGTGGTCACACCAGATACTGACTGGTTTTCTGACCCCCCGCCCCCCCCAATACAGTAAAACTGCACATTCTAGAGTGGCCTTTTATTGTGGCCAGCCTAAGGCACACCTGTGCAATAATCATGCTGTCTAATCAGCATCTTGATATGCCACACCTGAGGTGGATGGATTATCTCGGCAAAGGAGAAGTGCTCACTAACACAGATTTAGACAGATTTGTGAACAATATTTGAGAGAAATAGGCCTTTTGTGTACATAGAAAAAGTCTTAGATCTTTGAGTTCAGCTCATGAAAATGGGGGCAAAAACAAAAGTGTTGCGTTTATAATTTTGTTCAGTGTACAACGTGAGAATTATGAAATATAAAATACACGCAAAAGGGGTCATTAGAGAAGTTAATATCAGTTAATCAATAAATATGTATTACTAAATAAACAAATAATTAGTACACAAACAAATATTCATATTTCTAAATTAGACTCTTAATGGTGGTTATCCAATATAATTCTTCATTAGAGAGTTAATTAGTGCCAGAAAAAAACTGCCAATAAAGTAATTATAAAGTCAATTTGGAAAAGGGGAATATTTTCAATATAGATGTGTTAGGACAAAAATAAAGTAATCATATATTTTACAAAAACAAGTAATATTTTCTTGTAATTTAAGTAATGAGATGTAGTGTGCTCTCTCTCAATCTTTCCAGTTTGTCCAAAAATCCTCACTATGACAACAGAGAGAATAACAATCCTGAAAACCACACAAAAAGGAGAGTACATGATCATTAACATCCTCTAGGTGTTGAATTATTCTAAAAGGAAAGGAGGCAGTTAGTGTAGGAGGGCAACTGAGTGCTATCTGTTAACTGATAGACACTGAACTGTGCTGTTTTTCTCTGTCTCTAGAGGATACCAGTCACAATCTGAGAGCAAGACATCTCCCAAAAGACATCTCGTACTTTAAGGACATGCTGAGAATGATACAAACATGTATGTGAGATTGGGTGAGTGTCTGATTCCCTTGAAAACAATGGAATTTCAGGTTTATATTCGCAAATGTTTGCATTTTAATAAACTTTGAGATTGCCAGACACCCTTTTGGACATGTAACCTCAAAAATACAAGCTTTTAGCAATGAAAAGCATGAACATGATGAAAAACTTCACCATTAGCTATATTGAATGTCTGTTAACACCCTGTTGAGAAAAGGTTTGACAGACTCAGGGAGCCAGAAGAAAAAAAAACAGATCAAAGCTGGAGGGAGAAGTATTGATAAAAAAAAAAAACATTAGAAAACAGCCAGCAGGAAATACTTTACTCTTGCACCATCTGCTCTAAATACCAATAATAACATGAAAGAAGCAATGCAGAACACTGTTTTGAGAAAGGTTAGTGTACTGGTGTTCAGGCTCGTTCACATTTTTGCACTTCCAAAAGGAAGGAAGAGGAAAGCACTAGACAAAACAAGTGTTAACAGTGGAAAAATGACATTTTATGGCATTCAAATCCAGAGATTAAATTTATCCTTGTTCTTCTCGTACATTCTCAGAGCGGCTGAATTTAGTAAAAAGCCACAATGTACTCAGCATGAGAACAAGATATTTGTTCAGTGTGGGAATGTCTGAATTTGCTGATAGTGGAAACCCTGGCAGCCTCCATTAAAAATGTCTTTTCAGATTGCTCAGAACTAGACACTTACAACACTTTCAAATGGAAAGTCGTCTGTTCTCTCTTAGCTGTGATTTTCTTTTTTAAGACTTCAGGCTGAAGGCAACTGCCACTTCTTTACATATAATGTATATAACAAGGAAAAATTCCATGCAAAACCTTCTGCTCCTATAACATCTTAACCCTGCAAAGCCTGAGACATAAAATAATAATCCATTAAAAATCTATTTTTTTAAATAAAAGTTTATTGAAAATTTAGACAAAATATATTTTAAAATTGTGCATTTTTTAATTATATTTGATACACCAGGCTTTTATAGCTCATTTAGTCTGATATAGGAACATACGGAGCTCATACTGGAGGAAAAAAAACACCTCAGCTTTATTTAGAGGCCCAACCTAGCTGACTAAAAAAGTCTGAACTACTAACTTTTAGAGGGCAGAAAGCATGTAGAACATTGCGTACAACAGCAATGTTTTGATTATGTTTATAATTTAGTGGCCAGAAATTTGTGCAGCACCCCTCATAATGTAGTCAAAATATACAATTAAAATGTTATAATAAGCAATAGGGTTGTCCAACAGCCAGATGAGTTTCAATCCTTCTCCTCCAGCAACCTGTTACTCACATAAAATGATTGCACTTAGAAAACAACAACGATCCAATCAATTCCCAATAGACAAAATCAAGTCCCGCCCTGCATTTTTTTCTTGTTCGAAAAGCCCTTTCACTTGGATATACTTCACAATAGGGAAGAAAATATGATCACAATTTTCTCTTTCATGCCAACTTTAAATGATTAGGAGGAGCATTTCCCATTATACTGTCAATATGGCTTGACAAGCATTAGAGACAAACTATTGATTCTTCCAAGAAACTGTTAAAGGAGAAGGAAAGTGTACTAAATTATACTGGGGAACACTGTGAAGCCAAGATCAAAATAAAAGCCAATGGATGATGAGGGTTTTATGAAAACATGATTCTTTAGATGGAAGGTTGTTGATACACAAACAGGCAGCATTCCCAAGTTTAAATGTGAGGTTAAATTTAAGAATCAACTGAATGTTCATTTGCATGCTGACCTTAGTGACAAGAGCCATCAGATTTTGATGGCATGATTAAAAATTATCAAAATTCACCATACCATATGTACCTGTAAATGTCTCTCCCTTCCAGCTGATGGTAAGCGTGATGCTTTTCAGAAATCTGCTTCACACTTCTTCTCTGAGACTGTGGATAAATGTACAGAAAATGAAGAAATCATTATTTCATATGTTACTTATAAATGTCATAAAAATACTTTTATTGAGGCCTCATACTCTAAGCTCTCTTTAAAGCTTGCAACCATCTTGCTATTAGTATTCATGCATGCTTTTGGTGCTCCAAGTGTGAACAGATAGATGTCTGCTCGGGTCCCTTCTGCAACAACAAGAGCATCCATCTAAGACAAAGGCCTCATGGTTATAATCTGACCAGTGACCTTGAGACCATTGGTGGCTATTATGAACATTGTCTTCACTCACAAAACGAAGAATTTCTCCAGAGGCCCTCACAAGCAGTTTATTCAGTTTAACCTTCAAGCTCGAGGATGCTTCACATGCAAAATTCTTCAGAGAACCAGAATATCATTAACACACTGATTATCAACTAGGAGGCCACACAACTGAAACAATATAAGGCACTTGTGTCCAGAGTACTTAATGCACTGTGTAGAAAACTCTTTGTCAACCTGTACCCTCTGAGCGCAGAGCATCAAGAGCAGATTAGCCATGGTGGGGAGTTCGTATAGGGCACGCCACAAAGGGACTGAAACGTTCATCTGTTTCCATGGAAACAAACAGAGAGGAAAATGGAGTACCAATAAAATGTCGCTGGAAACTGTCTGAGGTGCACAGAGCCAACCAGATCACATCAAAGTGTTACAATTAAATGCTCAGGAGAACCAGAATGAGGAGGCAAAGGCAAAGCTAAAGTTTATCAGACTGGCAGATTTTTGTTTATGCTTTGAAAAAAAGAAGTAAAACAATACAAATGTATAATAAAAAAAGAAAAATAAATTACACAAAAAATGTGTTGCTAAAATATCATCTATACATATAGTCCAAAGCAGAAACCTGTATATAATTACAGCCTGACCTATATTCTGTAAAAAAAAACATGTCATACATTTTACAAACTAAATTCAAAAATGCATTTTCCTGAAGAGGTTTGATATTTTTAACAAAATTTCGAAACCACACATTTTCCTGAACATTAATTATGCTTCCCCATCCGTATTGATCTTTGCCTGTAGTAACTTTCCAGCTGTTGCGCAGCGGAGTTACATCCTCCAGGAGCCGTTCAATTCTGCGGGCTCCACAGCCTGCCACGCTTCACAAACTGTGAGAAATGATGATTGAGAAAGAGCGGCACATTAACTTTACCATGCCTGGAACACAGTGTGATGACTAACTCATCACAGTTGAGATAAACAAACCAGCACTCATTACCAAGACTTGTTTCCAGCTGTCACAAGGGCTTCAATGGTAATTCAAAGTATAATAAAAGTGAATCTGACTGTTTTGATTCAGTTCAAATAGGCAGAAAACATGTCAGCAGTTCAGCTGAGGAACATTTGTTTTTCTGTTGTAGGACACATTTGCCCAAGTATAACTATTATATAATATATATACAGTACATATGTATTTAATACACATACCATGACATTAATATAGGACAGAAACAGTTACATAATTGAATGCAATAATATGGGTCATTGAGCTTATTTTATTTTTATTTAGTGATTAATAAAACCATATTATCATGTTTGAAAATACAAATTTATGAAAAGCATACGTACAGGAATCACTGATGTCACTAATAGTGAACTGAATGTATTATAGTTTGGTTTGTAAAAAATAACATAATTTATTTAAAAGAGATTAGCATTGTGCTGATGTATTCTGTCCTGTTAACAGAAAAGCAGCAAATATATTTTCCAAAATATGAGTACTAATATAAGTGTGTGATATTCCTTTTAAAAAATAGGTGCTGTTTAGTGCTTTCTTATGGAATATATGACCTGTCACACCATATGACAGATTCAGGCTATGGCCTAGAACAATGTGACAAAATAGAGCGAACTGTTAATGAGCCGCATGGAACTTTTAGACAGAATATCAACTGGACAGAAGGAAGGAAAATCACCCTTGTGCAACAGAAAGGACCTGTGTTAATTTAATATTATTTATATACTTTTATAGTATTTGTTAATATTTTAATTAGCTTTTATTAATTTTTTTAATATCTTCAGATTTATTCTTAATTTCAGTTTAAGTTTTAGTACTTTTATGTGCTTTTGTCACATTTATTCGGGGTTTTTTTTTGGGGGGGTGGGGGTTAATCTCTATAGCTTTTCAGTTTTAGCAATTAGTTTGAGTAATTTCAGCTTGAACTTATTTCAGCTAGTTACCAAAGCAATATTTCTAATTTTGTAATATTTCTAGCAATATTTCTAATTTTTTGCATCTAATATTTATATTTTATTTCAGCTTCATTTAATTTTATAAGCAGCCTACCCATCCAGAGATTGAAAATATGTGGACTGGGAATTAAATTGTGTGCTGTGCACTCAGCTTCCATGCCTTTCAATGTTTTTTGATGGAGCCATCTAAGACATTCTGCCATCTGAACACTTTTCTGCTAGGCTGTTTGCACTTTAAAATAAGCCTGAATATCTCACAATTTAAGTAAGGCCTCCCAAAGGTTTTGCAGGGAACAAGTTGTCCTCAGTCAGGTCAACTGTATTAAAAAAAAGATGAACACCACAATTGTGCCATACTACTTGTAAGGATTCCCTTCCCGTGCAAGTCCCTCTGAGCAATACATGGTACAATGCAGATAAGGCTTTGAAAAAGCTCCATTCCTGCTGTTTCAGGTATCAGAGAAAACCTTAGGCATGAAAGGGGAGCACTGAAGGCCAAACTCTATACCCCAAGAACACAATTATGTGCAGTATACCTTCAAAGTACATGGCAAAAACACTGAGGAGCCTGGCTTCTCTCACGGTCTCTGGAGTCCGTTCCAGTATGGCAGGGGCAAAGGGAATCAATCATGACCCATATCCATCCATTTACTGAGCACAAAGCTATTCAGCTACTATACAGTATAGCAGCCCCATACACAACTGAAGCTCACTGTTTGAGAAACACTCCTGGCAGGACACAGAATCGGGCCATGGAACATTTGTCCAGCTTTGCTGTCAAAAGGACCAGTTCACTCTTTTTATTTTATCATTTTTGGTGTAGGCATACCTTTTGATCTTTTTCTTCAAAACAAACCTAGAGTGCATGGCTGATACACTTTATACCTTCATAGCGTCACCTGTGAGAACCAAATATACACAGTTCTTCTCTTCATCCCCTACAATGCGCTTTACATTCACTAAATGTAGCACATTTACAATCAATGATCCACTGATCTCCACTATTCACTCAACAGCATGTTTGATCAAATAACACACATGCAGCTAGCATCACGATTAGGTATATTAGTCTCTTGGACATTTCAATAACAATGACTGGCTCAAGAATTCCTTCAGCATGAAGTCATTGGGTAATGCAGTAGTTCAGTGTGGGTGGTGTGATAGCATAAAAGACACTTAGAAACATCCAGGGATTGACTAGACATACAAAGCACCAAGACTTTTCCCTTATGGGGCAGTCGACTTATGAGCCAGCTGTTGAAATCAATTTATGTAAATATACAAAGATTTCAAGGGAGAAAAAGTTTCAACATCTTCTGGCTGGCCCACAGTGCAGTTACACTCCCTCATCGAAATAAACCAACTAGGGCGACACATGTAATCGAATTTATCTAATCTTAATCTAATTATTCACTAAATAACACAATATGGAGTCACAATACGGCCATTAAAACCAAAAGGCTGTGTTTTTTTAATTTGCTTTAAAGGGGTCATATGATGCGATTTCAAGTTTTCCTTTGCTGATTCGCTACAGTAAGTATGTTTTGTTATTAGTTTAAGTATTTGCTATTGACTGTTCAAATGCGGAGTTTTGCGCAGTGCAGAGTAACGCGTTGTGTGTGTGAGGGGAACAGGGTCACATCACAGGAGAGTGAACTGTCTGTCAGAAATCATAGCACGTCAGCTGTCTTAACGCGGCTTGTGTACTGCATCATCACTGTGTCTGTCACTCGACTCTGTTGCCCTTTCAGGCTTGAACTGATGGTAAAACTAACGACAGTATTAACTGTCTTGATATTTACTTTGAAAGCTGAAGCTCGCGATTATGGTAAGGGGCGTTACATTTCCGGTGTTCGGCCAATCACAATGCACTGGGTCAGCTGGCCAATCAGAGCAGACTGTGCTTGTCAAAGGAGGGGGCTTTGTTGAAAATTACGTGTTTGAGAGAGGCGGGGCATGGAGGACCTACAATAATGTACAGTATTTGAAAAATAATGTGTTTTTTGAACATTAAAGCATGTCAACATATTCTGTTACACCAAATACACAAAATAATGATCTTTAAAATAGCATCATATGACCCCTTTAATTAGCAGCGTTTTCCATTGTTTTGTCAATTGTTTCTTTAATTAATCTGATTAAAAAAAACAAATTTATTCTGTAATTTAATAAAATTAACATATTGCCCATTGTTATGATGCAGACAAAGTGCAAACTAAAGGCTGTACAACCAAACATAGACTAAATGTTTAAATGCAGTTTATATGCTATGTATTATGTGCAAATAAATAAAGTTTTAAAATATAAACGTTGCATTATAAATTAAATGACACTTGGCAGGTTATGTCATTAAATTGGAAATGATGACAGAAAAACAAATGCACAAACTCTTAGCTGGCAAGAATGAAACTCACACATTCATTCCTCAACATTTCTTTGTCCTGTAAGAAACGTCTTACTTTCATATCCCATTTCTAGTTATAATCCCATTACAATGACTGTTCTCATAAAATATCAATCGATAATGTCCAGGTATTATACAGTAGTCAACATTTGAAGTGGATCAAAAAATAACGGGTATTGTTTTGGTTTTAGGACAACTTTGATGAATGGTTTTGATCCACTTCAAATGTTGACTACTGTAGACCTCTTCAGCCCAGACATTTTTCACATTTTCTGCACTGACTTCAGAAGAAAATCATTCAGCAGAATGAATACGCATTGTAAAATGTACAGTAAGAACATCACATTCTTATTGAGTATTCTC